CTAGCTGCTATAGATCTATAGCTAACCAGTTTGGTGTTGGCAAGTTGACAGTTAGTGGTGTGGTAGTGGTGATTTGTGAGGCAGTTATTGCTGTTGATTACCTATGGGTGATGGACATAGCTATTGTGCCTGAAGTAATAGCTGGCTTTGAGAGAATGGGGTTCCTGAACGGTGCTGGGATCATTGATGGTGCATGTGTGCCCATGGTTTGCTCACCACAAGGAACACATAAATATGTTAACTGTAAAGGATATTACTTGATTGTTATTCAGGTATTGACCTGTCAGGGTTCCCTCCCCACTCTGAACTCTGGGGTACAGATGAGGGGACCCGCATGAAAGACCCCCCTAAGATTATTTCTACCAGCTTAGGTTAAAACTTCCCCAAGGCACAAATCCCTTCTTGTCCTTGGACGGTATTCGCTGCCACCACCAAGTGAGCTAGACAAATATTCAAGGAAAAGAACCACTTGGAGTTCCTGTTCCCCAAAATATTCCCCCCAAGTCCCTTCATCCACCTTCCCTGGGGAGGCTTGAGCATAATGTCCTCACCAATTGGTACAGGTGAGAAGAGACCAAATCCCTGGGTTTTTAGGACACTAAAAACCAATCAGATTCTTTAAAAAAAAAAAAAAAACAGAACTTTTTATTATAAAGAAAAAAAAGTAAAAGAAGCACTTCTGTAAAATCAGGATGGAAGGTAATTTTACAGGATAATCAGATTCAAAACACAGGATTCCCCTCTAGGCAAAACTTTAAAGTTACAAAAAACAGGGATAAACCTCCCTCTAAGCATAGGGAAAATTCACAAGCTAAAACAAAAGATATACTAACGCATTTCCTTGCTATTACTTACTATTCCTGTAATTTAGATGTATCATTCAGTAGGAGCTGGATTACTTGCTTGGTCTCTCTCTTTGTCTCCCTAGAGAACACATACAGAGCACAAAAACAAAGCCTTTCCCCCCGCCCCAGATTTGAAAGTATCTTCTTTCCCCATTGGTCCTTCTGGTCAGGTGCCAACCAGGTTAATTGAACTGATTAACCCCTTACGGGTAAGGGGATTCTGTACCTCTGGCCAAGAGGGATTTTATTTTACTGCATACATAAAGGTTGTTACCCTTTCCTTTATATTTATGACATGACCAACCATAAAGGCAAGTTTATTAACACCAGTGTGGGATGCACTGGCAAGGGTGCGGAGGTGATTTGGCATTTACTTGTTAGGCGGGAATGAAGTCCTTTTGCGTTCAAATAACATGGTTATGAATGGGGTGTCTGTGCCCACTGTTGTTTTTCCACTCTGCTGCCACAGCTCATGACGCTGTACCATGATACAAGAGCACCTGGAAGAGAGAGGTTTAATTGCACACAGAGCAGTTACAGGATGGTGACAGAATGTGCACTTGGCCAACTGAAGGCAAGATGGCACTCACCTGCATACCCATTTGAATGCCAGTATTCCTAATGCCACTTGTATTGCCCTATGCAATATCTGGAAGGAAAAGGGCAAGAGCTTTCACCGCTCTCAAGACAGTACTGGTTTGCAGGCCTGGTACAGACAAAAAGCCCCTGTCATCACTGGAACTAGGTCCTGGTGAGTAAGGGAAACAAGGGATGCCTTAGGAGGTGGAAGTTGCCATACAAACTGTAAGAGGCTAATTAATTAAGATGAGCTATTATCAGCAGGAGAAAAAACATATTTAATCTATTTCCCTATGTTAAGTATCCTCACACCTTCTTGTCAACTGTCTGAATGGGCCATCTTGATTATCACTACAAAAGATTTTTTTCTCCTGCTGATAGCTCATCTTAATTAATTAGCCTCTTACAGTGTGCATGGCAACTTCCACCTTCCGTGTGTGTGTGTGTGTGTGTGTGTGTGTGTGTATATCTTACTATATGTTCCATTCTGTGCATCCGATGAAGTGGGCTGTAGCCCATGAAAGCTTATACTCTAATAAATTTGTTAGTCTCTAAGATGCCACAAGTACTCCTGTTCTTTTTACTGTATTGAGGGTGAGGGATTCTGCATTTAGCTGCATACTGAAATAAATAGTGTGTGTGGTGGGGGGGGATTCTCAGGAGGTTTCTCAGTTGCCTACACCGATAGTGATCTCCTACAGTGTGCTTGCTCATGGCCAATTACTTATCATCTGGACATTTTGCATAGCTTGTGATGGATATGCTAGGAAAGTTTCACTCTTAGTGTAAGCAGTGAACATTTAGCGCCAAATTCCTCTCTACTCTTGAAAGTGCCTGTTGATATTTTAAGGTCTTGGTCTCTTTCTTTGTGTGGAGAGAAGGAGGGTTTCTCAGGTCTTTCCATTTTTTCCTTTCATTTACTATCCTCCTCACTACTAACCCTTACTCCCATAAAAATTTAAGCAGTATATCATAGTCACCCTACCTATAGCAGAGAGGAGCTGGACATGGATCTCTGAACTCAATAGTGCGACTTTGAATACAAGCCAAAAGAAGTTGTTTGAATAGTGGAAAGTTCACCCTCTCCCAGGGCTTATGTAGGGTTGAGAGAGTTTTCTGAACGATGTAGAGCAAATAGGATTTTTTCACTGTTGTAGCATTCAAAAGCACGGAGTCTCAGGGATGTTGTGGTACTGTCATATACAGCTGTTTCATAAAGCCTTATATTAGGCATCAACCATTCATTTACACATTCTTTTCCATTTCATGCAGATTTCCTTTTATCCAAAGGAGATATTGGTTACAGGCTACATTATTGGTCTGAGTATCGTGTGCATTTTAAGGTAACTTGTAGAGGTCTTCTCGGGCCTGATTTTTAATCCAGACCCAAATTGACCCAAGCCTAAGAGGGTCGAGTCATTTTCCAACTACCGATGTCAGGTTTGTGTCAGGTTGGAAAACAACTGATCCTCTTGGGCTCAGGTTGGCTCTTCTCCTTACTGTGAGGTTGGCACGGCAGTAGTTGCGTGCACTGCTCCTGCTGTGGTGGGTGTGTGCACTGCGGGATGAGGCTCTGTGATTCCTTGGCACATGCACTCCCCAGCAAACACAGCACAGTGTGGTGACAGTGTCCGGCAGGAGCAGGTCAAGCAGCGCCATCACCATAGGCCTGGGGAGGAGAGCCGACCTGGGCCTTCAGGAGTCTATAGTTTTCCAAACCAATGCGAACTTGACACTTGAAGTTGGGTCCTGTTAGGTTTGAGTCAGGTTGCAGGCTCTAGTAACTTGAATCTGAGTTTCTTATGCATTATTAAATGGTAAGAAATGAGCGAGTGAAATAGTAAATAGCTTAGTAGCCTAATCTTTTCCTGCTAAGCTTCCAAGCAGAATCTAATTTCAGCTCAGTGAAAAACGTGAAAACCCTTTCACGCCACAGGTACGGAAGTACATATTACAGTGGTTCTTAGGAGCCTCTGCAGCCTTATCAATAAATATTAGAGAATGCTGTCTCCTTTGTTCCAGTGTTCAGCCAAATGCTTCCTAAATTACTTATCCAGTGTCAGAATAGCCAAAACTTTAACACTTTGACTAAACCTAGACACCTCTGGCCTGATTTTTTTCAGTGGATCAGAGTCCTGAACCTTTCATTGGGTTCTCAGCAGGTGCTCAGAATCTCTTGGCATCTTAGTTTGAAAATTTTGGAAGTTTCTGTGGGAGTTTTGCCATTTAAAAATTGGGGATAATACTTAACCATCCTCACAGGATTGTTTAAGGCTTAGTGCAAGTAATGTTTGTAAAGTGCTTGGAGATCTTCAGCTGGAAGGTGCTATGGAAGTGCATTTGATTTTTCCAGTAACTGAAAGATAATCTGTGAAATAACAATTTATTTACGAACACTCCATTTTATGTGAAAGTTTTATAAATGTTGTAGATGTTTTCTAAAATACCTTTTTAGATTAGAATTAGCTTGTCACTGTAGAGATGCTGAAGTTCTGGCTGAGGCAGTACTATCAGTCTAATCCCCTATTTTCAGATACTTGTCACTTTTCTGGAAAGTTATCTCTGGAATTTAAATTTCTCATTCTTGTGAGCTCTTGTGTGTGTGCATGCGTGCATGTAGTAAAGTTCTCTTAGTTGTTTGAGCATATCAAAATGTATACCTTTTCACTTTCAATATTTTGATAACTAACTCAGAAGATTTAATTTTAAAAATTCAAACTTACATATCATATGTAGTCTTCAGGTAAGTGTGCTTACTGCTTGGGGGGGTGGGGGGGGGCGTATTCTGGTTACCTTAGCTCCATCTTTTTCTGAGCACTGTTCTTGGAGTGCCCTTTTAAGCACCAACTTTCTACAGTTGCCATCTGTAAATTTAACTAATAAAATGCAAATAGGTGAATAGATTTATCAAGGTACATATCTTTTCTTCTTGCATTTCAGACATTACTTTGCTGAAGAAAAGTGGAGTTTTTTTGTGCACAGACTTTGCAATGTTGTCATTAACTATTTTTAACTATAATCTAGAGAGAAAATCCTCAGGTTTGACATGCCACTCTTCAATAAAACATAATCTTGGTACAAAAGGTCACTAGAAATTTGAAAGAGTGCAGATAGGTTTTTTTGTGTGTGCACCCTCCATGTTGTATGTTTACATTTGTACAATACAAATTGAACACCTTCAAGAAAACCAGGTACATCATCCAATTTCCTTGGTAATTGATTGAGAGTATAATGTGTCATATCAAAACAGGCTGAAAATAAGGTGAGTTTATGAAGGATTTCGTTAAATTCAGAAATGAATGATTAAAATAACAAAACATTCAGGTAGCTTGCTTTATACTTGAGTGACAAATGAGAGCAGTGCATCAGAAATCAATCCAATATACTCTTTCACTGTACGCACTAAGAAATCAAGGCTTAATAGCGGGCTAACTATTAAGTGATCAGCAAAATCGTTATTAGCACTACAAGCTTGGAAACCCTAATTCTGTGATCGAATTAACAAACAAAAACAGTAGTAAAATTTCTTATTTGCCTTGAGTTCTAATTTTTGTGCCTTCTATCTTCTCCTTTTAGGTCGTTTGATTAGTGCAATTGTGCGACTGACTGACTGACAAGACTAAACATGAGGGTAGCAGGTAAGAAAAACAGTCACTGGGATCAGATTTATGTGACTTTTAAAATAAGCCGTATACTGCATTAATGAGTAAAGGATAATCCTGATGTTTTTTGTTGTATCTAACTTCTGAAAGAAGCACCACAGCTTTAATTTAATGGAAACAGTATTGCTTTGCTATTTTTAGCTGTCTGTGAAGTATGGCATTAAGCAATCATGAATGGCGGAAAAAAATCGTGTATGTTTATTTTCTCCATACCAGTACCATCCAGCTTCCCTGAAGGTCAGAAGGAAGAAGCAAATGTGAATTTGGTCTTCCTCGGAGTTTCTCAGTGTAACCCTGGCTTCCAGCTTTCTATATGTAGTTCATTGAATTATTGTATATGCATTTCAGTTACTAAACGGGACTTTTTGCAGGGGAGAGGTTCAAGTTTATTGGAAGAAAACATTATGTCCAATGAAATGGCTAAATGTTTATTTGCCACTTTCAGCCAAAATAACTCCTCCTGCAGTCCAGTCTTTGTTTATTAGTATTCTTGATATGAGAGACATCTCAAAAGAATGCAAAAAATACTCTATACATCACTAAATTTAAAAAGTGTATTTAGCACCTTTCGCATCAGATGTCTGATGGATCTTTTTATATATTTTTAAATCTTTTAAACAAATATCAGTTGTTCTAATCGTAGTGCAAAGAAACACCAGTCATTTTAGTAAATAACCCCAAAGAAGTGATATACACATTAGAAATTCAGGAAACCTAACAAATGTATACAGTGAAGTTTAGTACAATAGGAAGAAATGGAATTCGAAATTTTTCAGGACTTCAAGATATGTTTTTAATGTAAATGTTACGAGTGTTCTGGGTATTTGTAAGGCAAAGGTCACTAAGATGAAGGAATTAGAAATGGGTAACTGTTCCAAAACGGAGAGAAGAAATAAATAGAAATGTCCTGTATAGAAGGAATACAGCATTACTTCTGGGGGGGTTCTGTGTGATTGCGCGCATGCAGAATTGCGCCCTCCCCTCCCCCCACAAAATTCCTGTGCTTGCCTGCAGAAAACTGCAGCGAAGCAAAGGGAAGCTGCACTGGGGAGGGCAGGGGCGACGACCATGGGTGCAGTTTTGGGCAGGGGATTGCCCCCCTCCAAACAGAAGTGAGGCGTGGGGGCCACACAGGGTTATGTGCCACTGGGCCCCCCACCCCCATCTCTGCAAGCGCAGAGCTGCCCAGCTGAAGGAGGCTGCATGTTGGTTCAACTGACTCTGCAGCTGAATGCCACCTCCTGGGTCCTAGTGCCAGTTGAGCTCCCCTTCTGTGTGCTGGGAGCCTTCCTCTTTTCTGTGCAACAGTGAGTGCCGGTGGAGGGGAAGAGGCAGTGGGGAAGGAATTGGGGGTGGAATAGGGCAGGGGGATGCGGGAGTGAGGGGAGGGAGATGGAGAAGAAAAGGGGATAGGGGAATCCCGGGGGGGAAGAGGGAGACCAGCATGCGGCATCCCTTGGCAGCAGCTGGGGCTCCCCTGTTAAGCACGACTATCGAAACCTCACCCTGACAAGCCCTACTCCCCTACCCATGGACTCCTCCGACCAGCCTGCCACACCCAGACCCTTACCTCACTGATTCCAAAGCAGCTGTACCTGGACCCCTCTCCCCCCACTGAGCCCCAATCACCTTCACTTGGATTGTCTGCAGAGTCCCATTGCCCCTGCACCCAGAACCCCCCTACAAGCCCCTGTGCATCCAAATGTCCCACTGAGCTGCCCGCACCCAGAGTGCCCCACACCTGGATCCCATACACCCTAAGCCCCTCCACACTTGGATCCTGCTGGGCTGAGCCTGCCAACCCACACCTGGTGCACCTGGCACAGAGGGCCCCAGAGAGTTTCTGGGGCAGGTCCAGCCCTTGCACTGTGTCAGGGTCAGGTGCAGCCTCACTGTCGAGTCCCTGCAGTGGGGGAGGTGGGGGTTTCAGGGTGATCTGCCACCTCAGTGCAGCCAGTGGGCCTGTGCTTCCCCACTGCCATGCTGAAGCCACATTTATTTATTAACAAATAAAATGTGCAGAATTTTAAAATATTGTGTACGCTATTTTTAATTTTTTGGTGCAGAATTCCCTCAGCAGTAACAGCATATCAGAGACCGACTGGATAGAGTTCAGAAAGAAACTGAGGGAGTGAAAGCTGAATAAACCTAGCATTTGGAGAGCAGTAATAGAGGTCTCTGAGAAGCCTATTTACCTACGAGAAAGGAAGCAGGAAACTTCAAAGAAAATTCAATAGTGTATTACATCTGTATCACAACTAAAGAATTTTAAGGCATTCTTTTGCTATGTACATTTGTACTGTTGTGTTGCAGGAGGAATGTGTGTGTGCTCTAGTTAATAGTCTGACAAACTGTTAGACTTTTCAGCAGTTCGATTCATAGGTTAACTTAGTAACAGTTGCTTCAAAGGTTTCAGAGGAACAGCCGTGTTAGTCTGTATTCGCAAAAAGAAAAGGAGTACTTGTGGCACCTTAGAGACTAACCAATTTATTTGAGCTCACGAAAGCTCATGCTCAAATAAATTGGTTAGTCTCTAAGGTGCCACAAGTACTCCTTTTCTCGTTGCTTCAAAGTAATCCGGGAAGAAAGCATGACTACATGCTTTCTCAACATTGAAGTTAACATTATTCAGGCTGTGATAAAGGAATAGTGCATGGAACATACATTTTTATTAATTGTATTAGGTATGCTTACATCTGAGCTTAGTTCAAACAGACTCCCTCTTGGGGGTCTGGTGAAAGTCCATTTTATGCTGCAGCAGGAGTAGGCAGATTTTGGTAAGACTGGGAAATGCTCTGTTTTCTGGAAGGTGAATTAGGTCACCAGTGGTGGTTGTCTACTACGATAATCTTCCTCATTTTATTTCCTGCTGTCAGCCCTGCTAAGAGCTCACAATTAGGGCAGAACCTGGTAAATTTTTTGTCTGTAATCTTGTTGGTAAACCCCGTAACACATTCTCTTCTTCTGTTGACGTTTCTTAGCTATAGTAAGCAAGTACTTTAGTGGAGTGCTTTTAGTTCAAAGATTAAAGGAAGTGCTCTCTTAGAAATGTGTTTTCTCTTTTATAGAGAGAGCCCATACAATTCCACGGGAGGGCTTAGAATTCTGTGGTGTTTCTTTGGTGCTGGTACTGTCTGCCCACACTTTCTTGCCTATTCTGGATCTACAAAACATGAATCATCTGTCTAATTTACTATATATCCTGTTCCAAAATCTACTTTTTTTGGTAGATGTGACCTTGAAAAATAAAATCAAACCACTGTATAACCTAAAAATAACCTCCAGGAAAGATGTAATAAGTTACATCTGAGACGTTGAGAAAGTATATAGATAAAATGTCAAATAGATGCAAATATTAGCATTAAAATACTTTCAGAAAACTGTTTTAAGTTTTGAATTTGCTTTGAGTTACCAAGAGTATTAACTATAGTTAAGGCTGCGAGTCTATCATGGAGGTCACGGATTTCGTGACTTTCTGGTCCGAGCAGCTCGGGTGGCCCTGGCGCAGCCGCTGCTGGGGCAGTCTTGGCCCCCATCCCCCCAGCACCTGTGGTTGTCCTCAGGCCGCCGCCCCCTGCCCTGGAGCACCAGTTTAGGGTTGCCAATTTTGGTTGCATGTATTCCTGGAGATTTAATCACATGACATAATCTTTAATTCCTGGAGACTCCCGGACAATCCTGGAGGGTTGGCAACTCTACACCAGCAGCGGTCCCGGGCCACCCCGTGCCCTGGAGCCCCCTTCCAGAGCACCTGTGGTGCCCCTGGAGTCCCCCCCCTCCAGAGCACGCAAGATTTAGTCAGGGGTATATAGTACAAGCCATGGAGAGGTCATGGGCTGTGAATTTTTGTTTAGTGCTAGTGACCTGTCTATGACTTTTGCTAAAAATACCCATGAGTAAAAAGTGGCCTTAACTGTAGTTTTGTCAAATAAAATTATTGTAGGCATATAGCCCCCCCCCCCAATTGCTCCCACCCAGCTCCCCTCCCCAAACTCTTGATTGCTTCCAACCCAGCTTAGGGTTACCATCTTTCAAGTTCCCAGAGAGAGGGCACTGCCAGGGGTATTTGGAGAGGTGCTGGAGGGGTTTGTGAGTACTGGGAGGGGTATTTGGGGGGTGCTGGCAGGGATTTTGGGGGGTACTGTTGGGGTACCTGCAGCCTCACTCTCGAAGTGGGGGGCAGTGTTGCTTCCTGTCATTGGCAGAGCAGCTGGCACAAGGCCAGGATGCAGCGCCAGCCCATCAGTCAGTGCCACGCCAGCCCATCATGGGCCTCTCCCCCTTCCCAGGGCTGGGAGCCAGGGCCTGGCTCTGTCACCCCTCCTAGCTGGGCTCTGAGGCCCCATGGCAGGGCAGGTGGCCCAGCAAGAGGCGCTTTACAGCTCCGCTTTCCTGGTGGGCCAGCAACCCAGCTCAGGCTCCCCTCCGCTGATCGCCTGCCACCTCCCTACCCACCCCTCCCGGAGAGGCTCCTGCTGCCTCACTCACTGAGCCCGGATGCCAGCACTTGCTCATTCGCTCACATGGCCTCTCTGTTGCTGCCAGCTGGCGGAGGACAGAGCTGGCGGGGGTAGGGCTGCGCTTGCACCATTTGGGGACACACTGTGCACTTCAGCCCGGCCCAGCCACCCACCCCCTGCTAGCAGGGCCCTGTGCTGCAGAGCAGGTACGGCTCCAGCCCCGGCTTGGCTTCAGCCCGTTTGACCTTTGCAGTCCACTCAGAAGTGTCTGGCAGTCCAGATTTGGCCAGCGTTCACCTAGTGACTATCCCAATCTAGCATATATATTGTTCTGTAAATGCCAATGTGATTGACAAAGCCTTGGCTGGGATGATTTAGTTGGTGTTGGTCCTGCTTTGAGCAGGGATTGGGCTGGATGACCTCCTGAGGTCTCTTTCAACCCTAATCTTCTATGATTCCAACATGCTATTGATAAACTGTGAGATGTGAATTGGTGCCCCATCCTAGGGTGGAACATAGCAGTCAGAGGTACAGCTGAGCCTCACAGTATCGTTATCTATAGCAGTGATTTAAGTTCACACCTTGACAGTACGAAGCTTCACTTTTGATTTATTTTTCATGTACGTACTTTTTGTTTACTTCATTTCACAGTTTGTAACATATTTCTGGCAGCATTGTAATAGCTTTTTTTAACACAATTCACTGTGGATTTCTCATGCAGTTTATTTTTTGTGTTTAAAACTGATATATATAAATTGTAAAATATAAATAGATGCCAAAAACTTTATTTTCTGTGGTTCTGAATAGGTGCTGTAAAGTTGGTGGTAGCTGTCTCAATATTTCTACTGACATTTTATGTCATATCTCAAGTATTTGAGATAAAAATGGATACAAACTTAGGAAACCTGTTTGGTAAGTGATGACTTCTGTTTTCCCCGCACAAATCTAATTTGCCTTGAATACAGATTAAGTACTACACGCTCTTTCCATGGTTAGCCTTGCATGTTCATGTTCCAGAAGAATTCATGTTTTTAAGAATGTACTTTTATGTTCTGCATTAAAAGGTAAAATATTAATATTTACAAATTTTGATGTGAATATTTTAGCTTAAAAAGTTCACATTCAGAATATAAACAAGATTCATGCACAGATCATGTTTAGCAACAGATCATGTTTAATAGTATTTGTGGTTTTAGTCAAATGGTCTATAGACTGAGGGTATAACAAGAGTGCACAGTGTGATTGTAGTCATGTTGGTTCCAGGAAGTTTGAGAGACAAGGTGAGTTAGGTAATATCTTTTATTGCACCAACTTCTGTTGGCGAGAGAGACAAGCTTTCACGCTACACAGCTTTTTTTCAGGCTGGGAAAGTTACTTCTGTGTCATAGCTAAATACAAGATCAAACAATTAGTTTAGCATAAGTAGTTAACGCGTATTCTAAGGGACCACTTCACCCTGAATATGTGCTAAGTACTTATGGGGTAGTCAATTATTTTTTGTCAAGTTCAAATTTAGACACCTACACTCTGATTTTTTTTCAGAGGGATTGAGCACCTACAACTTCAGGGATCTCTGGGAGCTCAACATATCTATTACCAAATCCTCTGTATCTGAAATTGGCCAACCAAAACTTGAAGCACAAAATGTTAGACTGCATTTCAGAATTTGGCCCCTTAATTTTTGTGTGTCTTACTGTAAATGTTTGTGCTTTATATTTGAATATGATGGTGGGAGGTATTAAATGGAGTATCATAAACAATCAAACATATTTTTATAGATCTGCAAAAAACCAAATTAATGGGATTATAAACATTTTACAAATGAAATATCATTGTAACTAAAGCTTTTTAAAAAACATTGTAACTAAAGTTTTTTAAAAACTTTCTTCTGTGTTTTTAGCTAGATCAGCATTGGAGGCAGCTGCACGCCGTAAGTATTTCATATGCCATAGTTACTGCAGTGTGTATTTACTTTTGTCTGTATATACAATATTGCTGTGACTTTTAAATACTGACTGTCACTTTGATATGAAAATTGCCACCTGTACATAAAAATGCAATGAGAATAGATTCAAAGTAGAAGATTGTTTCATGTTTAACCAGAGAATTGCATTTGTTAGATCAGCATATGTCAGAATAAGTATTTTAATGGTTTGTGAGATTGTACCTAATTAATTTTACTGTTACATATACAGTATTTAAGCTGCAGTTCCATGTGTGATTGATCAGTATTTTCTTTGTGCTCTTTTGGTCAAGTACAAGATAGGATATGTGGGAAATAAGTTTACTTTTATTCCTGGATAGAGACAGATTACACTAACTGGTATTATTTATTTATTTATTTATTTATTCGGAGTATAAATAAGTTTCTTATGAAGGATATATGATGCGGCTCTTGAGTATTAATATGTTTTGAAGAGGGTTCCCGATAGCCCTTAAAAAGGTGACCAAACCATTCGCTGAAAATCTTCTGTCCCAGCTTTTAAGTAGAGCCCTGCACAGATACAAATTTAGATCCGCAAATGCGGATATCTGCAGATATAAATTGATATCTGCGGTACCACAGGACTCTCTCTGGAACCACAGCTGCAAAAGGAGCAGAACGTGGGGCTGCCCGCTGGCAACTCCTCTGGCACAGCGGTACCGCCCCCAGCCCTGTCCTCCGGCACGGCTGTACAGACCTCAGACAGGAGATGCAGTCATGCAAACCTCTGCGTGGAAGGGACAGGTGCAGGACTTGGGGTGGTACAGCCGCATGGAGAAGCTGCTGGCACGGGACGCTGGTTCTTGGGGGCGGCGGCCCCACGTTCTACTGCTTTCGCAGTTGTGGTTCTCTAGATACCAATTTGTATCTGCGGATATAAATTTGTATCCATGCAGGGATCTACTTTTAAGCACTTGATTCAAGATGTCTTTGTTACATTATTTAAGCAAGGAGAAAAGTTGTGTGTGTTCATGTGCCACAGGACTGGAATCTGGGAGATGTAAGTTCTGTTTCTACCTCTGCCGCAAAATTCTGATGTGACTTCAGGCAAGTCATTTAGGGAATGATCCAAAGCCCACAGAAGTTAATGGAAAGATTCCCGTTGACTTTAGTGGGTTTTGGATCAGGTCCATAATTTTTCTGTATCTGTTTCTCCATTTATAAAAAGGAGATATGCACTTACCTCACAAGTGAGATTAAATGAATGTTTGTGAAGTGCCTTTTCCCAGAATTGAGTATACAGTCTGAGTTATGCACTGTTGTCACCATATTGACCCCAGAATATATGAAAGACAAGGTTGGTGAGGTAATATCCTTTATTGGACCAACTTCTGTTGGTGAGAGAGACAAGCTTCTGAGCTTATATAGCGCTCTTCCTCAAGGGCTAAACTCTGCGTAAGCTCATAAGCTCGTCTGTCTCGCCAACAGAAGTTGGTCCAATAAAGGATATTACCTCACCCACCTTGTGTCTCTACATAGGCTGAGATTATTTGTGACTTCCCTCCACCTTTTCCTTAGATTTTTTTATTTACTGTCATATCTAAATCATATTTATTTCCTTTCTAAAGCTACAAAACCACCCAGATATAAATGTGGGATTTCAAAAGCTTGTCCTGAAAAGCACTTTGCCTTCAAAATGGCAAGTGGAGCAGCCAACGTAGTTGGGCCAAAAATTTGTGTAGAAGATAATGTGTAAGTATTTGCTTATCTGGCAGATTATCTGTATGTACCTTTTTAAAATCTATTTTGGATAATTGCTCAGTCAGAATCTCTTGAATTCAGACTATAACGTATTGATTGTTTTGCTGAAGTAAATAGAACATTTTTTTGTTTACTCTTTAGTTTAATATGCAAACAAATATCTGAATTGGTGCAAACACACTTTTTTCATGTACTTTTGACACTCGCTAGCTGTATGAGGGATTGTATTGTGGAATTGTTATGGTTTGCAAAATACTTTTTAAACTCCATCAGGCCAATGACAGATAAAATATATTTTTAGCATTTCTTTAAAAGAGCCCTGACAGGGTAAAAAGACAGATATTTTAATAATAAAAAGGTAATTACATTTTGCTGGTATCTTAAATTACTAGACCTAAATTTTAAAAATCCAATTCACTTTTCACTATTTACAGTAAAGTCACTTAGTTTGATTAATAATATTAGACTATTGTTTCCGTTTCTAGTAACTTTCACTTTTTATATCCACTACTTCCTTGCTGCAAAGGTTGGGTTGCATGCACTGTAGGGGAACTTTTGAAAAATTGTATTCTTTGAGGTTATTAAATTGAATAAAAACTTAGTAGTTTTTTAATGCAGCCCTTTTAAAAATACAAAATCTGTTTTATGCCTGAGCTATTTGTGTTCCTTAATATTAAACTAATTGGATTATTTCATCAGTGTGCTAATTTTGTTCCAGACAGTCTCACTTCTTACATCATGATTACCCTTGATTTTACCCCATAGAGTACATGTGACTTTATAGGTTACAGCTTACCAGCTCAGTTTCTGAATAAGTTGCATTGCAAAAGGATTTTTGGTATTGCTACAACTACTAAGAACTTTGTTTATTCCAGTCACAATTAATCAGCATTCATGTGAAGGCTGGCTTTAAAATAGCACAGTATAATTGTACAGTATAATTCTCCCAGCGCACACTATTCTGGTGCTGCATAATTCCAATATGTCTTATGTCAAACTATGCAGAGTTGTTCCAAAATAACTGGCAATTTTTCAGTGACCATCATAACACAATGTATTCTGCTGCAGATGACAATTTAACTACAACATAATTTCAAGTAGAGGACTAGATTGTCATCAGAGTGTACTGTGTTTAAAGAGACTTTGTAAGATTAGAAGCATTTGAGCCAAAGGATTGGCTTTGTCTTCAAGACTGTACCCTGTCATGATCACTTAACTCTAGTAACACAGATTCATTGAGGCTGGAATATACTAAGCTAACATGCTGAAGAATAGATAGTTAACATGCTTAACTATGGACAGATGTTCCTTCAACCTATCCTTGCACAGCCAGTACTATACCCACCACTGACTCAGCAAGTTGGTTAGACTGCTTAAGATCCAGTTTGGCTAGATTTTTCACTGCGCTGCCGAACTGGACTTTAAACAAACTATGAAACTTGGTTAAGTGGCTGGCCAGCCACATTCATTAAAGTTCAGTGCTATAATTGTCCTTAGAACTTAATCAGCAAACTAGTACTTATGAAATAAGTCAGTTCCAGAACATGAAACTAATTATGGTTGGTATAACTGGATTCTTTAGGAGTTGCCCCCCTCTTTTTTAGCTAGGCAGCAATCGTAATACTTTGCCTCTTTCAAATGAGACACAACCCTCTTGAAATCTTTCAGTGGAGCAGAAGTGTTAACTTCAGTTTCTTGACCAAACTTTAACTTAGGTAGTTATATCTGTCAGCCTAAAATTTTCCTGTAAAATTCCTTGCGTAGTTGAGGAAATTATTCTTTAATTCCCTCCTAAAACCCTGTTATCTAATGTTGCTGCCTCAGAAGTGCCCTAATTTTCTTGGGGAGGAGTGAGTGGTCCCAATATTGTTTTATATAGAGTCATATAAAAAGTAGTTTCTAAAGTGCTTGGGATCCATCAAGATGAGAATGAAGATGGTTTGAGGTTTCAGAGTGGTAGCCATGTTAGTCTGTATCAGCAAAAAGAATGAGGAGTACTTGTGGCACCCTAGAGACTAACACATTTATTTGAGCGTAAGCTTTTGTGGGCTAAAACCCACTTCATCGGATGCATGCAGTGGAAAATACAGTAGGAAGATAGATATATATACACACACAGAGAACATGGAAAAAATGGGTGTTGCCATACCCACTGTAACAAGAATGATCCATTAAGGTGAGCTATTTTCAGCAGGAGAAAAAAAAACCTTTTGTAGTGGAAAAAAAATCTTTATTATGTATTTTCAAGCTTAACACAAGATTATGTTGTGTGTAAAAAGGGAGTGTAGTCTCATAGCACAGAACTAGGAAGGGCTACTGGGTTATGTTTCCAATCTTGTCAGTGAATCAATTTGTGACCTTGGGCAATTAATCTAATCCCTTGGTCCCTCAGTCTACCAGTCTATACAATGGATGTAATAAAATTTACCAACTTCTCAAGGTGTTTGAGGCAAAATATTTGAAAAGATTTTTGGAAAGCCAGAGATGAAATGCTATATATGTGCATCATATTAGCTGTTTGTTATTTTATTTTTATTTTTTAATCTCAAATAGTTAAATAAGGAGTGGTATGTGTGTTGATTTGTTTGGCAAAGCTTCTGTTGTAATTGTGTCAGATTCTCCTCTGGAACACGTGATAAAAAACCAGAGGCACTTCTTAGTAACAAATAACTTAATAGTTCTGTTTGTATGATGTACTGTTATCCTGCATCATGTGTATGGGATCTTCTGCATCAATTTACTGTACACTTTTTTGGCAAAAAGTATTATGTCTGCTAACTTCCTGTGAGGGTACCTTTTTAATGTTTCTTGGTTTTATATACACAATTAAGAATCTACATTTATAGATTTATAGACGTCTTTGTTTTTGAATGCAATGCCTTTGACTTACATTTTAGAAGCCCACATAATATGCTGACTCGAAGTTTGGATTAGTATTCTAAAACCAACAAGCTGCTGCTCTCTTGTGAGAAATTCAGTGTTACATTTGTACATGCTTATGACTGCTGCTGCCACCTGGAGGGTGAGGAGAAAGATCTAGCCACTTTGCAAGAATTCATTTTAGATAATGCAGCTGTTTTATGGTTGCTTCAAATTGCCCTTCGTTATCTGTGCTCAGGTGATTATTCAAATTTGTTTGTACAGTAACTCCTTGCTTAATGTTGTAGTTATGGGTATACACACACAAACACACACACACAAAGTATAAGTTTTAAACAAGTTAATATTGTGCACAGCAATGATGATTGTGAAGCTTGGTTGAGGTGGTGGAGTCAGGGTGGAAGAGGGTGGGATATTTCCCAGGGAATGCCTTACTGCTAAATGATGAACTAGCACTTGGCTGAACGCTCAAGGGTTAACCCATTGTTAATGTAGCCTCACACTCTACAAGGTGGCACGAATGGAGGAAGGACACACAGCATGGCACAGAGAGATAGACATACCCTCTGTGTGTGTGTGTGTGAGAGAAAGAGAGAGAGACACCATGTCTGTGAGAGATGCGCATTGCCCCTTTAAGTACACTCTAAGTACACTGCCTTTTAAAGTAGATCAGCAAGTTGAGACAGCAGCTGCTGCCAGCAAGCTCCCTCCATCCTAAGACCTGTTGTGTATCCTGTCCTTCCCCCACTGCTCTGTGGAGATAGGGTACAGGAGCTGGGGGGAGGAGGACACCCTGACATTAGCAATTCTCTTTTTCCCCCCTGCACAGCAAGCAGGAGGCTCCCAGGGAGCAGCTCCAAGGAAGATTGCAGAAGCAGCACATGGCAGTAGGGGGAGGGACACCTGAACTGCCTGGCAGTTGATAGCCTGCTGGGTGGCTGCCACACAGGGAACTTAGGGGAGCTGATAGGGGTCTGCCAGCCCACCCTGGTTGCAAGCCCCCACCAGCTAGCTCAAATGGGTTGTTTTTCCTGCAAGCAGTGGACAAAGCAGGAGGCTGCCAAACAACGTTATAAGGGAGCATTACGCTACTTTAAACGTGCATGTTCTGATCAGCAACATAACAGTGAACCAACATTAACCTAGATAAGTAAGGAGTTACTGTACAGCAAACATCCAACAGCCAGCTAATAAAGCAAGTCAAATTGAATAGCACTGTTACGGAGGTAAATGAACATTAAATATAAATGAATGCTACTTGCTTTACGCAGAGGTCCAAAATCTGTTGACATTGCAGACTAAATTTCATTAGGAAATTTTCTTTTGGACGTTTGGCAATTTTGGGGGAAAATACAGTTTTCCTGTAGAGCTGGTGCAGTTCAAGATCCATGTAAGTATGAGATGAGATGATTCCCAAAACCTTGCATCTCATTATATCAGTACTGGATTGGTCTGAATGATTACTGCAGAATACTGTCATATCTCTTTCTACAATTTGATCCCTGAAGGCAGTTTTGGTCTAGTAGAAAACAATTGTTTGCTATGTTCCAGTAATATTATACTGAAGTAAAATGTTTGGTTGTAAAATTCCCTAAATAGTTAATCTTTCTTTATTGAAATTAGTCACTTGTTTTTAATCTGACCAGCGAACAGATTAGGTAATTACTGAAGGAAAGCAGAGACTATTTCTGAGTTACTGCAGTTTTAGCTGTGTTCTGGCAAGTGCTAGACACTTCAGCTACAACAAGAGGTACTGAATACAAATATGGGTGAACTTGAGTACCTCGTATTAAATGAGGATACTGATATAATAGGCATCATATAAACTTGGTGGAATGAGGATAATCAATGGAATATGATTCTACCAGGGTATAAAATATATTAGAAGGACAAAATAGTGCATTTTGGTGGGGGAGTGGCACTTTATGTGAAAAAAAAGCGTAGAATCAAACGAAGTAGAAATCTTATATGAACCAAACTGTACCATAGATTCTCTATGGATAGTAATTCTATGCTTGAATAACGTATATAGCAGTAGGGATATACTACTGACCATCTGACCAGGATGCTGATAGTGACTGTGAAATGCTCAGGGAGATTAGAGAGGCTAT